GTATATTGCATGCCTGTGTGTATTATACAGTGTTCTAAAATATATCGTAGGAGTTATTCTATAAGGGAAAAAATAGCAACCAAGGAAACATTACAGGACAGAAAGGAGAGGAAAGTGGTTAATCAGCATTAGTGATACCTTCATTCCAGTACATTAGTCTGGGCCCATTGGGGATGGATGAAACTTCCATAACAAAACCCCAAGCAAGGAGTAAACTCTCCTGGACTGGGGCTTTGATAGAAAACCAAAAGTATGTCCAAGTTTGTGAAACTTATAGTAATGGTGGGGCAGGTTTTGAGTGAACCTGGACTAGATTTTGGGCAAAGAAGAGAAAACAAAGGCATAATGTCTCTTTGATAATCTGTGTATATTTTATTTGCTGGGCTACAAATGTTCTTTTCTCTGTTAATGTTGCAGATCCCGCTCAAGCTGAATTACCGGGGATTCCTGATACCAGAGAAACCTATTGTTCTGAAGTTAGTCCCCAGAGCTTATACCTCACACCCAGAGGAGTAAGACCCAACAGAGTTCACAGCAGCTCTCCAGAGTACCAGCAGAGGCTTTACATCATTGGGTCTCTCCCACAAATGCAGAAGAAGAGCTTCCGTTCATTCCGAAGGCATTTACTAGATATCTACATAAAAATTGTGACTGTCAGAAATGTAAACCTGGACTGTGACTGTAAATAGCTTTTATACCATCAGATTTAGAGAATGTATATAAAGGAAAAATTCTACTGAGGCACAGCTCTGCTTCTCTGACTCCTTTCTAGTGAGATTCCTCCATCTGGAGAGGGAATTACTGTCTTATCCAAGAGGCAGTGGGAACTTTTTTGCTGGAAATAGAAATCACTCGAGCTACTGGGGGCAGGGGCGGGTGAATGCCAAGAGTTTTGTGAGTTGTACTGATATTTGAAGAAGTGTGTATAAACTGTTGGGCTGTTGAATTTACTGGGATGTGGTGAGATTATCCTGGAAACCAAATCCCTCTTGGGTCATATGTTAATGGAACAAAAGCATGTAACCTGTACAGAGAACAGAATTCATCAAATGTTTGTGAAAGGGCTCTCTGTTGTGTACTCTCAATAATTTGTTCACTTCAGCCTTGAAAAAAAATTCACTAGCTAGGAACCTATAGGCACAGGTTTGAGGGCTGTGATCCCTCACATCAACTTTATATCGGCTTTACTGCTATTAAGATGTTGTTCTTTCCTATTGATGCTCATAGCATACAGCTGACATGTCTGGACCGTTGTTTTGCATCAGATCTTGCATTGCAGATTACTTGTTTTCCAAATGCAATATAGCATGTGAGTTAATTTAAGGGCACATCTCTGTTTTACTTCCTCTTTAAAACCCTCCCCAATAACTCAAAAAAAAATAAAAAGTTGAAAGTGGAACAAGCTGTGAACAACATCTCATAATTCTGGCCCTTATTCAGGAAAGCACTTAAGCACATGCAAGGTAATTCTATTTTAGGTACTTATATGGCCCCATCACTGTAGTATTTCTGTGCCTCATAATCTTTCAATGTATTTATCTGCACAACATCCTGTGAAGTGGGGCACTGCTATTATCCCCATTTTACAGATGGGGAACTGAGGCCTAGAGAGGCAAAGTGACGTGCCCAAGGTCACACAGCAGTGGCAAAGCGAAGAAACTGAAATTGAATCTGGGTATCCCAAGCCCTAAACTAGTGCTCTAACTACAGACAATCCTTCCTTGACTCTCAAGTCCATTCCTATTCAGGATGGGTGCTGAAGCAAGTGCTTAATTGTAATTCCTCATCATGGATGCTTTCTTAAACCCCAGCCTAATTCAGAATGGGAGTGTCACTCTTGAACTATAATCTACACGAGTAGTTTAAAAAAAACTTTATTAAGCCTTATTTGCTCTGAGAATTAAGCTGACCAAATTAAATTTGATTGGTTTCTAAAGGCATTTTAAAAACACTGTTTTATCATATTAGTATTGTTAGTGGGAAATCCTATATAAGTACAAGAGAGTGAAAAAATAATACAGGATCCAAACCTTGGTAATCTACCACTGGTAGCTGGTTATCCGGGCAAGCTTCTAGAAGAGGTTTTCTTCACAGATATCGCCCATCCTACTTAAAGTCTTTGCTGAAACTTTTCAAAAGGGGAGTTTCTCATGATACAAGAACAGCTCTTATTAACTTTGGAGAAAGGTAGTGTTGGTCATAACTGGTAAGATTTCCTTCCTATGTCTCTGTAAAATACAGAATAGAAAATATTCACCAAACTTCTAGCAGCCTGCCTAAATGACAGGGGTGCTGGAACAATGTGTATAGTGGGGGTTCTGAGAGTCATTGAATCAAACTGTGTATAATGGAAACCACTTAAAGCCAAGGGGTGTGGCAGCACTCCCAGCATCCCTAGTTCCAGCACCTATAGTAAATGATGCAATCCCTTTAATTATTTACAAAAGTGAAGTTGGTTTTGTGAAAGGCAGAATTGCTGCTGATAGCAAAAGAAAAATATTTCACTTAATTCACCAAGCCCAGTTACTAGGTAGTCCATCAATAATTTTATCCCTAGGGCTGCATTTGACAGGGTGGAGTGTCTCTTGTTAATTGCACAACTAATTTTTGGTCCAATTTTTCTTAACTGTGTTGAAGTCCTTTACAATACCCCTTTTGCAAAGGCGCTGACAAATGGAATTCTTTTACATATATTTCAGCTGGAAGGAGGAATGCGGCAAGGTTGTCCCCTCTCCCTTTTATCTGTTGAGCACCTAGTAATAAGTCTAAGAAAGTAGTCCAGCTTTGCAAGCCTACAAATAAACAAAAGGTATACAAAGAGCAAAAGAGCAGTTTGCATGCAGATGATTTTTTCTGTTACTTGGGAATTCTTCTTCTTCAGTCTTCCCCTGCTGTCATTAATAAATCGGTTTGGAGAATTATCAGGATGCCAAATCACTTGGAATCTAGTCACACATAATGGACATTTCCGAAAGATCATATGCTTTTTTAAATCTGCAAGGAAATTACATACCCCGGCATGTACAACCTCTCCCATATATCCCATGCAGACACTACATAATAAAACCACTATGACATTATAAGATGGTCGCTTCTTCCCTTTTCTTTGTGGGCAGAATTGAAATTGTTAAAATGAACACAAGGTATTTATATTATTGAGTTTGTTGCCAATGGAGATCTCTGCTTTATTATTTAGCCAGCTAAATAAGCTAATCACACTATGTGGGACTTGAGGAGCGCTATTAGTGGTCCCTGAAGAGGCATTGAGGCTCATAGCCTCATCACAGAAGACCCTGGGCTCCTGTGGAACCCAGAGGATCCCCTGCTAGAGGATTTGCAAGGGATTTACCTTCCCCCAGAGCTCCTCCCATAGCAATTTCTACAGGAGATCTAGGTTTGGAAATGAGAAAAGCTGACAGCCCAGTTTATGGCCTTCTTCTTTGTTTGCATAAGATAGAAGAAAGTGTCTCTTAGTTAATGAACTTTGCATGCCCTTATGATTACACCAGTTTGTTGACAGGATATGGTATTTACTGTATCAATAAAAGCTAAAGGGACTCTGTCCTCACTTGAGGACTCACGTGATTGACCTTTAAAAACACAACAAACAGGATTATGGGGTATCAGCTCGTCTCGGATTGCTTTGTAAAGAACTGGCTGCTGTGGAAAGCCAGTAAAAAAAGTCAAGTCTCCACTCCATAGTCTGAACTGGGTCTGAGCTGTCTCCTGCACAGCTCAGAAGGTGGCATGCACAACCTTGGCAACTAACTCCCTGATCCTGGAGATGGCCAATCACTGTTATTGTCGAATCCTAGATAATACTGGATAACTGGAAAATGCCTTTTGGATCACAGAGTCCAATCTCCCTGCATTAAGGAGAATAGGATACTAATTTGCCACATGCTTACCTAATCCTGTCATTAACTTGTCTACATAACACATGTAATAATTTTAAGACAGTTGTTGTTAACAGACATTAATCTGGACTGATTTGTATCCAAAGCTCTCAGCAAAAGCCAGGGGAAGGTGGAAAGCAATACGGATCCTCCTGAAATAAGATCAGATGCTGCCATTCATGGTGCTTTCTGGATGGCTCTCCTCAAGTCTTGCTCACAAGCCCAAATTCTACTCAGTGCAACAGTCAACAGTGATGACGTATAAACTGTGAATATCCCCACATTCATGAATGGGAAATTCACATTGTCACACTGGTCTAAATCCTGAGCAATGTCACCGATGTTAGCTTGGTGTAAGAGAGTGGAGAATCATGCCCATTGTTTCAGTCTCTCTGCCTGCAGACTCAGGAGGACATTCCTGCATTGGTTCACATGAGACAGGTTTTCTTCAGTAGGGCTAGCAATGTTTTTTTTGAAATGAAAGTTTTAAATTGTGACTAAACTGATGGGATCACAGGAGATGTGATTGTATGGTTACTGCAACTCTAACTCCTGCTCAAGCCAGCTCTGACTCCGGATTTTAGAAATATTTTAATGGGAACAGGGTTTATTTTTTTAAATTGTAACTGTATTTATATTTATTTCCCTTAAGGAGACCGGAGGCATTTGGATACTAAATCAACATAATTATTCTTGAATTTTTAAAATGATTTGATTGTAATCTAAAAAGAGAAGCTGTAGCTCAAACTGAAGTTATGCATTTGATGTAGCAATTATTGGATGAGGCTCTTGGGCCTGTGTTATGCAGGAGGTCAGGCTCGATGATCTGGCTTTAAAGTCTATGAGATTGTCACCATGATAAAGGAACTTCCCTCACATGGGTTAGGAATTCCTGACTAATTATGGATTGAACAATTTGTTATGAAGAAATTTAAGACCTTTGAGGTTAGTTTCAGGTGCTCTTACATCATAAGATAACATAACCTTTCCGGATTGGCCTCTTTCCACTAGCTCTGGCATTTACTCCTCCTCCCCTTTCACATGAAATAAAGGCAGAACCCAAGGCTCATTTAGAGGCCACTGCGTCATATGAGTAGCAGACAAAATCGTGAAACTCTCTCATTTTTCCTAGGGCGCTAACCTAATCCAGGGCAGAGAAGAGAAAAACAAAGTTAGACTGGTCAGCGAGAGGAGTACAGAGCGAGGATGAGCTTCCTTCCACATTTCTCCATTGAGACCTGGGCTCTTCTGATCACCCTCCTCGCTCTCCTGATACTGTAAGTAAAGTTCTATTGAACTAAAGCTTCTCTTCTTGTGCTGTTTCCTCCAAGATCTTGAGAATTGTCAATGCCTTAATTCCAATGGTCTCCTGAAATGCAACTTGCATGTCAGTCCTGTAGGACAGGGGTTCTCAACCTGCTTCTTTCTGAGGCCCCCCCGGACATGTTATAAAAACCCCACGGCCAAGCTGTGCCACAACAACGTTTTTCTGCATATAAAAGCCAGAGCCGGTGGTAGGGGGTAGCAAGCAAGGCTATTGCCCAGGGTCCACGCCACAGGGAGCCCCGCAAAGCTAAGTTGCTCAGGCTTCGACTTCAGCCTCAGGTGGCATGGTCCAGGGCCAAAGGCTTCAGCCCTGCATGGTGGGGCTTTGGCTTCCTGCCCTGGGCCCCAGCAAGTCCAACACTGGCCCTGCTTGGCGGACCCCCTGAAACCAGTTTGCAGCCTCCCAGGGGGCGCCGGACTCCTGGCTGAGAACCACTGCTGTAGGATCTGTAGCCTCTGAACTCAAAGGGCTCTCTGGCTAGCAAACCTTTTCGAAAGACATATTGGCAAAGGGATGGTCCAGCCATAATCCAATCTAGGGAGATCTGCAAACAGTATTTTTGTGAATTGCTATGAGTTTGAGCCTCAAGGACTTCCTCTAGTGTCTACACTACGGAATAAGGTTGAATTTATAGAAGTCGGTTTTTTAGAAATCGGTTTTATATATTCAAGTGTGTGTGTCCCCACAGAAAATGCTCTAAGTGCATTAAGTGCATTAACTCGGTGGAGCGCTTCCACAGTACCGAGGCTAGAGTCGACTTCCGGAGCGTTGCACTGTGGGTAGCTATCCCACAGTTCCCGCAGTCTCCGCTGCCCATTGGAATTCTGGGTTGAGATCCCAATGCCTGATGGGGCTAAAACATTGTCGCGGGTGGTTCTGGGTACGTATCGTCAGGCCCCCGTTCCCTCCCTCCCTCCGTGAAAGCAAGGGCAGACAATCATTTTGCGCCTTTTTTCCTGAGTTACCTGTGCAGACGCCATACCACTGCAAGCATGGAGCCCGCTCAGGTAACCGTCACCCTATGTCTCCTGGGTGCTGGCAGACGCGGTACGGCATTGCTACACAGTAGCAGCAACCCCTTGCCTTGTGGCAGCAGACGGTACAGTACGACTGGTAGCCATCATCGTCATGTCCGAGGTGCTCCTGGCCACGTCGGCTGGGAGCGCCTGGGCAGACATGGGTGCAGGGACTAAATTTGGAGTGACTTGACCAGGTCATTCTCTTTAGTCCTGCAGTCAGTCCTATTGAACCATCTTATGGTGAGCGGGCAGGCGATACCGACTGCTAGCAGTCGTACTGTACCATCTTCTGCCGAGCAGCCATGAGATGTGGATGGCATGCAGTCCTTCTGCACCGTCTGCTGCCAGCCAAAGATGTAAAAGATAGATGGAGTGGGTCAGAACAAGAAATAGACCAGATTTGTTTTGTACTCATTTGCTTCCCCCCCCCCCCCGTCTAGGGGACTCATTCTTCTAGATCACACTGCAGTCACTCACAGAGAAGGTGCAGCGAGGTAAATCTAGCCATGTATCAATCAGAGGCCAGGCTAACCTTCTTGTTCCAATAAGGACAATAACTTAGGTGCACCATTTCTTATTGGAACCCTCCGTGAAGTCCTGCCTGAAATACTCCTTGATGTAAAGCCACCCCCTTTGTTGATTTTAGCTCCCTGAAGCCAACCCTGTAAGCGCCCCTCCCGGCGTCAGAGCAACGGCAAACAATCGGGCATCTGAGAGTGCTGTCCAGAGCAGTCACAATGGAGCACTCTGATGGGGCTAAAACATTGTCGCGGGTGGTTCTGGGTACGTATCGTCAGGCCCCCGTTCCCTCCCTCCCTCCGTGAAAGCAAGGGCAGACAATCATTTCGCGCCTTTTTTCCTGAGTTACCTGTGCAGACGCCATACCACGGCAAGCATGGAGCCCGCTCAGGTAACCGTCACCCGATGTCTCCTGGGTGCTGGCAGACGCGGTACGGCTTTGCTGCACAGTAGCAGCAACCCATTGCCTTCTGGCAGCAGACGGTGCAATACGACTGGTAGTCGTCCTCGTCGTGTCCGAGGTGCTCCTGGCCACGTCGGCTGGGAGCGCCTGGGCAGACATGGGCGCAGGGACTAAATTTGGAGTGACTTGACCAGGTCATTCTCTTTAGTCCTGCAGTCAGTCCTATTGAACCGTCTTATGGTGAGCGGGCAGGCGATACGGACTGCTAGCAGTCGTACTGTACCATCTTCTGCCAGGCAGGCAAGAAATGAGGATTGCTAGCAGTCGTATTGTACCATCTTCTGCCAGGCAGGCAAGAGATGAAGATGGCTAGCAGTCGTACTGTACCATCTTCTGCCGAGCAGCCATGAGATGTGGATGGCATGCAGTCCTTCTGCACCGTCTGCTGCCAGCCAAAGATGTAAAAGATAGATGGAGTGGGTCAGAACAAGAAATAGACCAGATTTGTTTTGTACTCATTTGCCTCCTCCCCTGTCTAGGGGACTCATTCCTCTAGATCACACTGCAGTCACTCACAGAGAAGGTGCAGCGAGGTAAATCTAGCCATGTATCAATCAGAGGCCAGGCTAACCTCCTTGTTCCAATAAGAACGATAACTTAGATGCACCATTTCTTATTGGAACCCTCCGTGCAGTCCTGCCTGAAATACTCCTTGATGTACAGGCACCCCCTTTGTTGATTTTAGCTCCCTGAAGCCAACCCTGTAAGCCGTGTCGTCAGTCGCCCCTCCCTCCGTCAGAGCAAAGGCAGACAATCGTTCTGCGCCTTTTTTCGGTGCGGACGCCATACCAAGGCAAGCATGGAGGCCGCTCAGCTCACTTTGGCAATTAGGAGCACATTAAACACCACACGCATTATCCAGCAGTATATGCAGCACCAGAACATGGCAAAGCGATACTGGGCGAGGAGGCGACGTCAGCGCGGTCACGTGAGTGATCAGGACATGGACACAGATTTCTCTGAAAGCATGGGCCCTGCCAATGCATGCATCATGGTGCTAATGGGGCAGGTTCATGCTGTGGAACGCCGATTCTGGGCTCGGGAAACAAGCACAGACTGGTGGGACCGCATAGTGTTGCAGGTCTGGGACGATTCCCAGTGGCTGTGAAACTTTCACATGCGTAAGGGCACTTTCATGGAACTTTGTGACTTGCTTTCCCCTGCCCTCAAGCGCATGAATACCAAGATGAGAGCAGCCCTCACAGTTGAGAAGCGAGTGGCGATAGCCCTGTGGAAGCTTGCAACGCCAGACAGCTACCGGTCAGTTGAGAATCAATTTGGAGTGGGCAAATCTACTGTGGGGGCTGCTGTGATGCAAGTAGCCCACGCAATCAAAGATCTGCTGATATCAAGGGTAGTGACCCTGGGAAATGTGCAGGTCATAGTGGATGGCTTTGCTGCAATGGGATTCCCTAACTGTGGTGGGGCTATAGACGGAACCCATATCCCTATCTTGGCACCGGAGCACCAAGCCGCCGAGTACATAAACCGCAAGGGGTACTTTTCGATAGTGCTGCAAGCTCTGGTGGATCACAAGGGACGTTTCACCAACATCAACGTGGGATGGCCGGGAAAGGTGCATGATGCTCGCATCTTCAGGAACTCTGGTCTGTTTCAAAAGCTGCAGGAAGGGACTTTATTCCCAGACCAGAAAATAACTGTTGGGGATGTTGAAATGCCTATATGTATCCTTGGGGACCCAGCCTACCCCTTAATGCCATGGCTCATGAAGCCGTACACAGGCAGCCTGGACAGTAGTCAGGAGCTGTTCAACTACAGGCTGAGCAAGTGCAGAATGGTGGTAGAATGTGCATTTGGACGTTTAAAGGCGCGCTGGCGCAGTTTACTGACTCGCTTAGACCTCAGCGAAACCAATATTCCCACTGTTATTACTGCTTGCTGTGTGCTCCACAATATCTGTGAGAGTAAGGGGGAGGCGTTTATGGCGGGGTGGGAGGTTGAGGCAAATCGCCTGGCTGCTGGTTACGCGCAGCCAGACACCAGGGCGGTTAGAAGAGCACAGGAGGGCGCGGTACGCATCAGAGAAGCTTTGAAAACCAGTTTCATGACTGGCCAGGCTACGGTGTGAAAGTTCTGTTTGTTTCTCCTTGATGAAACCCCCCACCCCTTGGTTCACTCTACTTCCCTGTAAGCTAACCACCCGCCCCTCCTCCCTTCAATCACCGCTTGCAGAGGCAATAAAGTCATTGTTGCTTCACATTCATGCATTCTTTATTCATTCATCACACAAATAGGGGGATGACTACCAAGGTAGCCCAGGAGGGGTGGTGGAGGAGGGAAGGAAAATGTCACACAGCACTTTAAGCACAGCACTTTAAAAGTTTACAACTTTAAAATTTATTGAATGACAGCCTTCTTTTTTTTGGGCAATCCTCTGTGGTGGAGTGGCTGGTTGGCCGGAGGCCCCCCCACCGCGTTCTTGGACGTCTGGGTGTGGAGGCTATGGAACTTGGGGAGGAGGGCGGTTGGTTACAGAGGGGCAGCAGTGGCAGTCTGTGCTCCAGCTGCCTTTGCTGCAGCTCAACCATACACTGGAGCATACTGGTTTGGTCCTGCAGCAGCCTCAGCATTGAATCCTGCCTCCTCTCATCACGCTGCCGCCACATTTGAGCTTCAGCCCTGTCTTCAGCCCGCCACTTACTCTCTTCAGCCCACCACTTACTCTCTTCAGCCCGCCACCTCTCCTCCCAGTCATTTTGTGCTTTCCTGCACTCTGACATTATTTGCCTCCACGCATTCGTCTGTGCTCTGTCAGTGTGGGAGGACAGCATGAGCTCGGAGAACATTTCATCGCAAGTGCGTTTTTTTTTCTTTCTAAGCTTCACTAGCCTCTGGGAAGGAGAAGATCCTGTGATCATTGAAACACATGCAGCTGGTGGAGAAAAAAAAAGGGACAGCGGTATTTAAAAAGACACATTTTATAATACAGTGGCTACACTCTTTCAGGGTAAACCTTGCTGTTAACATTACATACATAGCACATGTGCTTTCGTTACAAGGTCGCATTTTGCCTCCTCCCACCGCGTGACTACCCCCTCAACCTTCCCCCCTCCCTGTGGCTAACAGCGGGGAACATTTCTGTTTAGCCACAGGCAAACAGCCCAGCAGGAATGGGCTCCTCTGAGTGTCCCCTGAAGAAAAGCACTCTATTTCAACCAGGTGACCATGAATTATATCTCACTCTCCTGAGGATAACACAGAGAGATAAAGAACGGATGTTGTTTGAATGCCAGCAAACATACACTGCAATGCTTTGTTCTACAATGATTCCCGAGTACGTGTTACTGGCCTGGAGTGGTAAAGTGTCCTACCATGAAGGACGTAATAAGGCTGCCCTCCCCAGAAACCTTTTGCAAAGGCTTTAGGACTACATCTAGGAGAACCGCAAATGCCAGGGCAAAGTAATCCTTTCACATGCTTGCTTTTAAACCATGTATAGCATTTTAAAAGGTACACTCACCAGAGGTCCCTTCTCCGCCTGCTGGGTCCAGGAGGCAGCCTTGGGTGGGTTCGGGGGGTACTGGCTCCAGGTCTAGGGTGAGAAACAGTTCCTGGCTGTCGGGAAAACCGGTTTCTCCGCTTGCTTGCTGTGAGCTATCTACAACCTCCTCCTCATCATCATCTTCTTCGTCCCCAAAACCTGCTTCCGTATTGCCTCCATCTCCATTGAAGGAGTCAAACAACACGGCTGGGGTAGTGGTGGCTGAACCCCCTAAAATGGCATGCAGCTCATCATAGAAGCAGCATGTTTGGGGCTCTGACCCAGAGCGGCTGTTCGCCTCTCTGGTTTTCTGGTAGGCTTGCCTCAGCTCCTTCAGTTTCACGCGGCACTGCTTCGGGTCCCTGTTATGGCCTCTGTCCTTCATGCCCTGGGAGATTTTCACAAAGGTTTTGGCATTTCGAAAACTGGAACGGAGTTCTGATAGCACGGATTCCTCTCCCCAAACAGCGATCAGATCCCGTACCTCCCGTTCGGTCCATGCTGGAGCTCTTTTGCAATTCTGGGACTCCATCATGGTCACCTGTGCTGATGAGCTCTGCATGGTCACCTGCAGCTTGCCACGCTGGCCAAACAGGAAATGAGATTCAAAAGTTCGCGGTTCTTTTCCTGTCTACCTGGCCAGTGCATCTGAGTTGAGAGTGCTGTCCAGAGCGGTCATAATGGAGCACTCTGGGATAGCTCCCGGAGGCCAATACCATCGAATTGTGTCCACAGTACCCCAAATTCGAGCCGGCAACGTCGATTAAAGCGCTAATCCACTTGTCAGGGGTGGAGTAAGGAAATCGATTTTAAGAGCCCTTTAAGTCGAAATAAAGAGCTTCATTGTGTGGATGGGTGCAGGTTTACATCGATTTAACGCTGCTAAATTCGACCTAAAGTCCTAGTGTAGACCAGGGCTAGGATTTACTGTGGCAGAATTTGGGCTAGATAGTAGGGGGACTATTGCTGAGTCTGTAACTGCTTTGGGATCCATGGAATGAATTATAAATATTGATAAACATCTTGTGCAATTTCCAGTGTCAGTATGATGCACAATAAAATACAGTATCAGCAAGAAGTCAACCTTTCAATATACTTACCCTTTTTAACCTGCCCCCTCCCCCCTCCCCACTTTGTTCTGGCCTAAATAAAGCCTCTGCTAAGGTTTCCTTGGTAAACATTAGAGCTATAACATTCACCCAGTGATAAAGTTCTTCCATGGGAAGTTGGTAACCTCCATCCAGAAACAAATATTTTGAAAAGCTCTTTCAACACAGCCCAAGACAAGCTTCAAAAGGCTACAGCCCAGATCTTTATAGAGAAGCAGAGAGCCCTGAGGTAGGAGTAATAACTTTACAACACCAAAAAAAGGGTGCTTCAGAGGAGAGAAATCTGCAAAGCTGTCAACAAAATCCAAACAGAAACCCATCAGACTAGGCTCCCCGACACACCACTGCAGTAACATTGGGCTAAGCACAAGGAGAACAACACATGAAATTAAAGTGCAGCCTTATAAAAGCTCCGCTCAGGACATAATGTCTGGCTCGGCTTTGGTTTGTCCGTAATAAACATATGTAAGGTTTTTTTTTCCCCTGTGTTTCTCTCTCCCTTTATTGGCTCCTCTCCCTGTGCTGGCAATGAGCCTGGAGAGGCTTTTGCATTTTGCTAATGGCTTGAAGGACCCATTCTGTTGGAACAATTATTCCTTTATGAGATGATGGCTTTTACCTCAGGGCTCACTCGTTGATGGTCCATTACAGCAGTGAAGCTTATCACTCGCTGTGTTTATTAAACAGATTTACAAAATACTAATTTTTGGACCAAATTTTCCACAGCTTCGTTCCTGTTATTGTGCAACAGCTCCGCTGCCTCTGGATAGCTTTGAGATCCAACAGCCTATTGTCACTGTTATGTGACCTTCAGATTCTTATTATTTTACAGATATGGGATCTGGCCACATGGTTTATTTAAGAAACTGGGTATTCCTGGGCCAACACCCCTGCCTTTCTTTGGGACCAGCTTGGAGTATGGCAAAGTAAGTGACTGAGGGCTCCAGAAACACACGTCCCTCATATTACAGTACCAAAACATTTCCACTGCACTGATGGATGTATCCTGTACAAGCTTCTCTGCTGGCATGTGAAGACCCACGACAGCACAGAATCTCTGTAATGTAGACCATGACACCTATTCTGTACAGCTCAAGTGAAGGACCCAGTGAGACCTTGGTGCTAACTCAAAAAAGACAAACACAGATGTAGCTGGTTTGCAGACTCACCATTTACATTTACACCATTTTTTTGGTACACTGTTTACTTACAGTCTCCTCAAGTTCAGGTTTGACAGACGGGCACACATATCCAATGATGGTCTTAGGAGGGTCTTGTTGCTCACAAGGTCATTGGGAATCACACAGGCCTCATATTCGGGAATCTTCTCCGCCCAGCTGCCAGCTCTAGCCTCAATTTCCCATCTCAGCAGGCTTCCTGCTTCCTCCTTTATATGGCACAGGGAAAGGAGGAGTATATGGCTCTTTCTTAAAAGGGCAGCATGCTGTCCCTTGTGACCATTACACTGTATCTGCATAACTGGAAAATTTTTATTTGTTTACTTTATTTTGTTTATTTGTTTTATTTGTTTATTTATTAACCACTAAACTACTTGGGCAGCTCTTGGGTTGTCTGAACGCCCCTAACCAAACACGGTAGAATATTCCCTTCCCCCAACCCATCGCAGGAATGACAGGTAGACCCACCAAGCAACAGGCAGACGCAGCAGACAGGTAGACCCACCAAGCAACAGGCAGACCCATCAAGCCAACCCAGCTATGTTTGTAGTTTAAAAAAGAAATCACAGTACCGAACATCAGGCTGAACTATGCGCACAGGTACATGTATGATTTAACCATCAAAGTCAATGTGCCTGTCTATCTGAGGGCAGCCTTTGCTCATAGTGTAGATCCTCAAGAGTCCCTAGGCAGTTTCTGCCATGTAGCTGATGAAATTTCTGCCTGAGTACTCTTCCTCCACTTCTAATTCCATTTTAACATTTCTTCTGCAGGGTGTAGTGGACTTTGACAAAAACTGCTTTCAGAAATATGGGAAAATCTGGGGGTAAGTATTTTACTAGACAGTATTCATCAGCTCAGGGTCTTTAAAGTTCATCCAAAATCTAAATCAGATTGTGAAAAAAAATCCACCAGAAGAGGGGAGCTTCAACATCATGTTATATAGAGCTTAACCTGGCCTGTAAGATGAAAGGTGTTGAAATTTCGATCCAGGTGACTAGGTCCTGCTTTCAGTCATGTCAATAACAAAATTCCCACTGCCTTTAATAGGAACAGAATCCAGCAGGGTTTATAACTCAGGTGTCCTATTCTCCTTGTTTAAAACCTGTGACAGAAGGTATTATATACCCCAGATACTCCTTTGAGAAACAGCCATAATGCTGTAGCTGATGGGTATTTCTATAGCCGGGTTCCAACCTTTTCCCCTGGGGGGGGGGCCTCCGGGGGGGGGGGGGGGTTTTTCCCCCCCCTTTCCCGGGGTGTCCCAGGGGAGGGGGTGGGGGAGGGGAGGGGGGGGACGCCCCCCCCCCCCCCCCCTTTGCCTGGGGGGGGGGCCGCCCCGCGCGAGCCAAAAAAAAAAAAAAAAAAAACCCCCCCCCCCTCTACCTAAGATAGAGTGATAGATCTGCCTTGTCACATCTGTCCTGACCCTGACCTGATGAAGGGCAATACATCTGCATTACCACCAGTCTTTTTCTGCATTGGATGTTTGCTTCACCTTTTGTCACTATGATTATAACTCCGGCTCTAAACCTGGAACACACCTTGCTGTTTTCAGTAATGGATATATCTATTCACTGTAACATCTCTGAAAGAGTTTCAGAGTCTAGGGAAAATACCTTTAAATGCCCCACCCCTCCCCAATTTTCTTTCCTTTTCCCCACAAACTCTCCTACCCATTAATTGTTATTATTAATTATTATTATTATGTATTATTGTAGCACATAGGATCCCCAGTCATGGCCCAGGACCCTATTGTCGTAGGAGCTGTACAAACACAGAACAAAAAGACAGTCTTTGCCACAGAGTTTATAATCCAAGAATAAGACAAAAGACAACAGGACAAGGAAACAACGAGACAATACCAGTCAGCATGATAGGCAGTGGGTCTTCCACTCTGCCGCTCCTGTTTCTCTGCACTCCCTCATCTTCCCTCCTGTTCCCTACAGCCTCCTCTGCCCTAGTCTCCTTCTGCAACCCGTATTACTCTTCTCCCTACAGCAGTCCACATATCCTTGTACCAGCCATCTTCCTGCCTTCTCTCCTTACCATCGTCTCCTTACAATTCCCAGTACAGAGCCCAAGGACACCCATGTTTCCTGAGGGTGGCCCATTGGAAACAATGTGAGAGAGCAAACATCTTTACTAGAGGTGGCCTTGCTTCTACATGCAAAGTAGAGATATGGAAGCCATCTTCACGAAGGGCACCCTCAGGCTTCAAACACTTTGAAAGTAATGGGAAATGGTGGGCATTCTGAAGAAGGGCAAAAGTCATGAGTTTGATGCCAGAAATTGGTACACCATCAGAAACTTAACACAAACGCCTAAAATTGCAAGAGTTAACAACTGATGATTCACAGCACCTTAAACTGCCATGGATTGCAGTGGGCGTTGGAGGTGCTCAGTCTCCTGTATGCCTGGATCTTTTCTTTAAGATTTGCAAAGAAACTTGAAGAAATCTCATAATTTTCACACTATGTTATGAGTCAAGGTAACATCCGGCTGTACATTCTTTTTTTGTAAAAAACTTTCTATTTCTACATTGTAGAAATGCTCCCTAATGACACAGGTCAAGGTGCTTGTGTCACAGAAAAACATGTGTCTTTTATCTGGTTTTGGAAAGATGTTTTCAGTACAAATCTAATTCTGGAAAAAGTCTATTCTAGCTCCAGTGGGAATGAAGGGATTGATTTATGAAGAGAGATTAAGGAACTGAGTATGTACTGCTTGGCAAAATGAGGACTTGTAGGGAATGTTCTACATGTATTTGAAGGATGTAAACATCAAGGAGATAGTGGAGGTGTTGAGAGGATTAGAAAAAGGCATAACTAGGAGGAATGGGATGAAATTAAATGAGCATCATCAATTTAAAAACCACATTTCTGTCTGCAAATCCTTGACCTATTGTTACCAGTAGCACCCTGATGACTATAAATGAAAGAGATTACAGAAAAAATATTTCTATTTTTCATATCCAGTCATGGACTTTACTATAAAAAGCTCATGAAGACTAGATCTTGTGGCCATCATAGAAAACTTGATGAAGGAGCTTCCATATAATTCCTTATTCTCCATTGACATTGGTGGGTTTTGCAATGTGTTATTTTTTCCCTAGGTTTTATGAAGGCAGACAGCCTGTGCTGGCCATCCTGGATTCTACACTCATTAAAACTGTGCTGGTGAAAGAGTGCTACACCACCTTTACCAACCGACGGGTAGGTTTCCAATCTTTAACCTTCTTCATTAAGACATAATAAAGTCTTAAATGAAAACAATCTCAATTACTGTTAGAAACACACAGTATTGGAAAGCTTTAGAGTCTCTTAGTATAGGAGAATGAATGTACATCCAGAATTAAGCTCATTTCCCACTGCATGTCACTCCACTCCCGCACAAGAAGGAGGGAGAAAAAGCTCAGTTGGAATAGGGTACTTTGGTTCTCAAAGAAACCTATTTGATTGCACTTGAAAAGCGGCTGAACCTCTTAGGAATACAAAAGTTGGGAATACAAAAAAATACTCAGGACAAACTCTGCTGAGTTGAAACAATCAATGAGAGCTAGATATGATCCTTTCTGTGCTTTGCCTTTCCCCCCCAGAGATTTGGTCCAACAGGATTGCTAGAGTCGGCTGTCTCCATCGCTGAGGATGAGCAGTGGAAGAGGATTCGCACTGTGCTCTCTCCAACCTTCACCAGTGGGAAGCTAAAGGAGGTAAAACCCAGAAGAGCAGTCACAAACTAAACCACTGGGTCAGTGCAGACAGCACTGAAGCAAAGATAGTCACAATGGTCTGGTCTCCTCTGTCAGAATCAGATTACTAAATCAGCTTGTTTTCTTTGCGCCTCCTCATGTAAAAAGGAAAATGATTAAAATGAAAATGCCAGAAAGCCGAAAGACATGATGCTTGTGAATGTTTATGATTCTCCCCTAGGCTATTAGGAACCATGTTTTAAACAAGAGGAAAAGTTACTATACTAATTATCTATAAATAGGACATTTTTATTTGTGTGCTCTGATTCATATTTCAGATGTTTCCCATCATGATGCATTATGGGAAGGTTTTGGTGAGAAATGTTCAGAAGCAAGTGGAAAAGGATGAACCCATAGCTGTTAAAGAGTGAGTAATTCTGTCCTGCAAGGCTGGGACTTGTCAGACAACAGCTGTTGATACGGGTGATTTTTGATTGTGAGCTCTTCAGGGCAGGGATTGTGTCTGTCTGGGGTGCAGCCAATATATTTTGTACTAATGGCATGCAAATAGTAAATAAAACTAATGGTAATAAATTCATTGTCACCATACATGCAGCATCGGGGACAGAACTTAGCATACTTGGTTCCAAAACCACAGATTTTACGACTGGAGCAAACAGAGACTACACTGTCTTAGTGTTAGGGCTTCAAGGGCCACAGCCATTAGCTGACAAGATAATCACAGCACTTGAGCAGGTCTGACTCCCCCAGAATATCTACACATGAGCTAATAACTGTGTCATACCCCGAGGAAGATTACGAGATTCTAGGCTATGCTAGTTCTGAATGAGGCTTTATGGAAATTTGCCTGTTTCCTCACAGATGCAATACTGGTATTGCATATCTTTCTTTGTTTTCAGAAGGAAAGAGAATTCCTCCTGAGGGTTTTGTTTTCTTTAAGGAGGTGTCATATGGGAAGCAAGTGAAAGGTTACAATCACCTATTTCAAACGTTAAGTCCACAATCAGTATTTTATTTTCCATCTTTTCTTAGTGTGTTTGGTGCCTACAGCATGGATGTTATCACAAGCACTTCGTTTGGTGTGAATATTGACTCAATGAACAATCCCCAAGACCCATTTGTGAAGGAGGTTAAGAAACTAGTGAAGTTTGATGTCTTTTCCCCACTCTTTATTTTGATATGTAAGTTGACTCCTGCTCATTGAAAACTCCAGCCAAGTTTGTGATCCTGATGTTCAGTAAGGATGAGTGGAGCAACAACAGTACATACTGCTCCATTCTATACCTTAGCCTATGTCTAGGGAAACTAATTACTTAGTTCTGCCATAAGAACAGTAGTCTGGACTAGATGACCTCTCAAGTTCCCTTCCAGTCCTATGAGTCTATGATTACACTAGGATGATCTAATCTCTGTCAAATTATACTCATGCTATGCCCAATGGCTATGGTAATCTCTAGAAGAGGCAAGATTTTTCTATAGTCAGTGGAGTTGTGTTGACACAAAGACCACCAACATTTGGCCATTTTATTGTATAGCAGGTAGGAAGGGTCACATCCAATGAAGTGAGCTGTAGCTCACGAAAGCTTATGCTCAAATAAATTTGTTAGTCTCTAAGGTGCCACAAATCCTCCTTTTCTTTTTGCGAATACAGACTAACACGTCTGCTACTCTGAAACAGTGTAGTGGAGATCTGGAACTGGTTTCTAGCATATGAGACGGTAAAGGATTTGAGAACATTCAAGACAGTCTGAAACAAACTTCAAACGCTTTCAGAATATTGTTATGAGCTGGGTGAAACCTTGTTATGGGTTGAGGTAAAGCCTCATTCAAGCTGAAGTCTGAGTGTGTCCTCCATTTAAGATAATTGTATGAGACACTTAAGGGGCCACACCTAAAACAAAGCCTAATACAGTCTGCCCAGAAATTAGCACCGCATGGGGCAATGAGTTCAACTGGGTCTTGTGACCAGCAGGTGTGGGAGTACACACAGATACTGAGGTCACAGTCAAGGACAGAGAGAGGAAGAGGCAAAGAGCCAAGAAAAAGCCAAGCAGGAGCCTGTAAGCACAAATTTGGTCCTGGAAAAAGATAGACTGTTCTTTTGGGTTTGATGTTGGCTACAGAGGTTGGGGGGCTGTTAGCTAAGAAACTGCTCCTTTTGTTCTTGGTTCCTTCTGTATTCAGAGAGACAGGACTTTGTACAGTCTTTGTAAATAAACAAAACTGCTTCAAAGAAATGCCTGATTACCACCAGTTTCTACTTCCAGCCCCAAAGCTTGACTAGCTGCTCAGGACAAAAAGGGCAACAATATTTTCATCTTGAGTGTGCCAGGCTTTGTTATTAGTTTGGTTTTTCCAAAGATTTCTTGGGGTGGGAAGCTATTTTCTGTGGAATATTGCTAGTGCTAGCTGGAGGAATGTCCTGCACTCAGAGAGCATAATCGACCCCAGTTCTCAATGGCAAAAAAACACCAGACACACATGGCTTGAGAGCAGGGCCGGATTAATACAGGGGCTTTAGGGACTGCAGCCCAGGGCCCTGGGCTAAGAGGGGCCCTGGCGCAGTAGGGCTCAGGCAGGTACCTGCATGCTGTGGCCTCACACCACTCCTGGAAGTGGCTGGCTGGTGGCATGTCTCTGCGGCCCCTGGCTCCGCAGGCTGACCCTGCCCCCAGCACCGTCCCTGCAGCTCCCATTGGTCGGGAACCTTGCACCCCCTCCTGCACCCCAACCCTGTACCCCAACACTCTGCCCCAGCCAGAATCCCCTCCTGCACCCAAACTCCCTCCCAGAAGGAAACTAATATAACAGCTGTTCTAAGGTAAGAAGCAGGCTATTTTGAATTAATTTAACTATATTCTACATGTTTTAAGACTGAAATGTAACCACAGAACAAAGGCAAGTTTATGTATAACTTAAAAGGTAAGTTTAGGATAACTTTAATAGCCTCAATGCCATAATTGTGATCATTTTGTTTTAAATTAGGAAACAGACTTGTATACAGGGGCCCCATAAAAATGGAATAGCCCCGGGCCCACAGGAGAGTTAATCCGGTCCTGCCTGAGGGACTGGAATGCTCTTGGGGCAGGTATTCATACACAGGGCTAACTCCTAGCAGTGAGGCAGCAACTTTAGTAAGGGGTAGTGTGAAGCTGCATTGCCCCAGGCAGAGCTCAAGAAGGATCTGCATTTGGGGCGGGATTATCCCTCTCAACTCCCTGTTGCCTTTGGGTAGTACACACACTGTACCATGTCAGCACATCTGCCTATGTAAATGGGAGTGGTGCCCATTTGCTCCAGGGGTGAATTGGGCACTAGGTTCCTACTGTCTGGAGCTGGATTTGAATCACTGAACTGTAGAATGTTCTTGCTCAGTGCCTGGTTCAGCTAAGAATGTCATTGTTCTGATCATATTTTTCCACTGTTAATATCTTAAGGAAATGGATTTTTTTGCCCAGGTTGCCTCACTCTCACAATGAATTTCTCTCTGCTCTAGATGTATTTCCATTCCTTACTCCTCTTCTTAAGATGCTGAATGTGAGCATTTTCCCAAAGTGATGCCCTGGAATTCTTTCGCACGGTCAATCACCAAAATAAAGGAAAAGCGCAAGAGAGACACCCCCACGGTAAGGAAGACTTTTTCAATGATGGAACCAAAGAATATTATCCATTCAGTTACCCACGTGAAAAATTCTTCACGTGACACCATTGAAAATGCAACTAAAGTCAAATAATGGCCAGAAGCCAGCATTACAACACATCCAGAATTCTGCTGGAACTAAAGTCCCAGCAGAGTCACAGAACAGAACGAATGCAGCAGTGACCTTGGGCTACATCAGGGTAAAAGCAACTGCAGTTTGGGCTTGCAAGGCTTTTGATTTGACAGCAAACTGGCAGAAAGATGTGATCACCCGTGGAGTGGACTAGGGACGCTGGAGCAGAGAGAGGGAGGGATACTCCTGAGTAAGCAGTAGATATAGTGAAGGACGACAAATGACTCAATATTGCTGAATATTGAGTCCCCATACAAGATGTGGTCTTCACACCAAAGCTAAGAGGACAGAGTCACTCTTATTACCTTTCAGGACTTCCTCAATCCAGTCCCAGGGAGAATATTAAACCCAATGGTAGAGGTGGTACTTCTGAAATACACTTACTGAGATTATTTTCCCCCGAGATTATAAAGCCTTAGGGGCCCTCTGAAGGGGGGGAAACAAAAAAAGGGGGGGTTGCTCCCTATCCACTGAGGAGAGAGAATCAAGGGGGAATAGGGTTGGAAAAGGGGGGGCAAATTAGGTAAAGCTGACACCAACTACTTGGGACCTTTAAACCCTAGTGGGTGTAGGAGAGGGAGAGGAAGGACTGAGAGGAGAGGGAAGTGTGAGAGTTTGAGAAGAAAAACTTTCAGAGGGAGGCTGCAGTGCAGGAGGGAAGGAAATAAGCACAAGGGACTGACTGAGGAAAGGGTAAGGACCCTGTGCCACCTATAAGGCTTTGCCTTGCCCCAAACCTGAGTCTCCAAGGCTAAAAAGGACTGAGCCTACTGAGGCGAACAAGGTATTTTGCCACAAGAGGTTTAGCTTTGTGGTTCTAGGCTCTGCTCACTGCTCCTTGTGAGAATGAGAGTCCAAGTCTGCCATCTTCGCCATCAGCTGTCTTCTGAATGTTACTTCTCTTCCCAGGATCGAGTGGATTTCCTGCAGCTGATGATTGACTCCCAGAATTTAAACACCAGTCACAAGAGCAATGGGTTGGATCACCCAAATAAAGGTAAAACCATGAAATTATTTATAATCATGAGTGCCTTTGGAGGCTCCTGGACTGAGGGGAATTGGATTGTTCATCCTGTGCAGTTGGGGAGAAGATTTATACTCATTCATGTGCTCATTTGCACAACAGTGTTGTATAAAATAGGTAACTTGTCTCCTTTCCTGCAGTAAAAAAAAAGCGCATTCCATGGCATCTTCTACAGCATATTAATTAGGGTTGGTCAATAAAAGATACTGGGGTGGTATGTACCAATATACCCAGGGACAAACTGTCCGTCCTCCCTCCCCCAAATATTTGTCAGCATTGTGTTTATCACTATGAACAAATATTCTCAGTTCTTTTCCGGGGTGGATGGAGGCAGGTGATGTGAGAGAATTTCTCCCCTTTTTTCTTTTCTCACACCTTCCTCAAAAAGCCTCACATCTGACACCCCTTCTCTGCCTAAAGGGGAGAAGACACAGCTGGCTCTGGAGCCCAGCAATTGACCATTCATTAGCTAGCAGGGTCATTTCAGAGGGACACAGGGACTGCATTTACTTTCCCTGTAGAACTCAAGTCTTGGGGTGAGGGATGAGCTTGAGATCCAAACACAGACATTCTCATTTTAACCCCTTCAGTAGCCTTTTCCCTGCTCTACAGGATGTGATGATTACACCAACTCCAGACCAAGGTCTCTGCCTCACGCTCCAGGTTTCAGGGCTGTAGTGAGCTCAGTGACCTTACACCAGACTCGCGGCCGAACAAGTTCATCAGCCCACAGGATGATGCATACACCCATAATTTGCAATTAGTAATTTCTTTAGGCCCTGCTGCTTTAATCAGGAGAAACTTTCATGGGGATTGTGGCAGGATTATATATGTTGCATGATTTTTTTTTATTAAAGTAAACTATAATTATAATACCTGCAGAAGAACTACAGCAAACTTGACTTCCTTGTTTTGATTGGTGTTTTCTGAATAAGTCAACTCTCAATACCAGGGACTCAAATCAATTATTAGCATCTAATTCACCTACCTCAACCCTGTGCTCCTGCACATGGGACAATAAAAGAAACCTTCCTCATCTGTGTGTATGTATATAAAATACAATATATACTGTTCCCCAAACAGCACAGTTTACATACTGTGAATTTGGACTTCACCTTTTCTGCCCGTTTATAATCTCTTTTCACAGTCCTGACTGATGCTGAGATTCTGGCACAAGCAATTATCTTTATTTTTGCTGGCTATGAGACCACCAGCTCCACTCTTGGCTACTTGGTTTACAGTCTAGCTACTCACCCTGATGTACAGCAGAAGCTGCAGGAGGAGATAGACTCTGTTCTTCCCAACCAGGTAAGAGTATTGGATGCTCAGTGATATGTAGCATCTCTTTATGGGAAATCCCTCTCCTCTAGTTCAAAGTCAGCAACACTGTTCTTTAAAGAAATTAAATGGTTATATTAAAAAATATTCTAAGTGTTGATTCACCAACCCTTTGGGAGCTCAGAAGGACAGTGAGAAGACAATAAAAGAAATCTTCACCAACCCACATATAAGTCTTCTCTGTATCTGTTTGTCTTTATGTCTACCCCTTCCACCAACTTCAGTCATTTATCTCTCCTCAAAATCCCACCATTCAACAATGCATATTAAAAGGGACAATTTACATCTGTTTTCTTAATCCTGCTATTCAACAATAAGGTATTTATGGGGCAGAGGCAAAGGAGGAGGGAAGGGGAGAATGTAAGAAGAGAAAGCATCTGCATAGTATTGAGGGGGGATTGGCTAAGAGACATGGAGCAGTGCCAGGGCAATATGGTAACATCGCATTTTCATGGGTACCAACTTGTTGTTTATAACCTCTTACACTGGGCTCCTGTACCCGCCTCTCTCCACTGAAGCCACTTTTCACCAATATTTTGGCCACAGCAAGGGGCTCAGAACTGCCAATTTTAACTAAAGCTTTGTGTTCAAACAGCTTTTGTGTTTAGGTGGGGTCCCTTTCTATCTAAGCTTTCAGCATAAGGAAAATGGGCACAGATTCCTGTTTCCTTATTCTTGAGGAAAGGAAAATGAAGGTGAACTCCCAGCTTTACCCCCAAGTATACCTAGGACATGTACTTTGACAAGAGATAAATTGGGGAGGACAGGATGGTTTTAACACTGATCAGATTAAAACAAGATGTGTAAACACCCTCATGCCTGAGCAACATTTTTGCTTTCCACTAAAGGCGCCTCTCACGTATGATGCCCTGATGCAGATGGAGTATGTTGACATGACACTGAGTGAAACCCTCAGGCTCTTTCCTTATCGGAGGGCGAATTGAAAGGGTCTGCAAGAAAGATGTAGAGATAAATGGAGTGACCATTCGCAAGGGCACTGTCGTTATGATCCCATCCTTCCTTATGCATCATATCCCAGAATACTGGCCAGAACCAGAGGAGTTCAGACCTGAAAGGTACAGAACCTGTATTGATAGGGAAGTAGTAATATACAGTGCTGACATCTTTAAATTCATTCTTAAATATCAGTCTCTTGCAAAGAAATTCCTTGTCATGGTTAACCTTCATAACTGTTTGTAACAAGGCAGGCAGAGAGTCTTCAGAGAATATCAGAATACCTGCTCCTGCTTCCACCGAAGCCAATTGGCAAAATCCCCATTAACTTCAACAGGAGCAAGATTATATGCCCAATATGAGCAACTATACCTGAGTTCTGTTGGTCTTTCATTTATGAACTCAATGCTCATGTTTCCAAGGTGCCACTCCTCTTTATAACAGTCACATATAGAAGATATAGAGAAACATTTTGCCTGATCCAGCTGACTGGATGTCTATGGCCCTGCACTTACACTTTACAGTAGCCTGACCAATGACAGACCATGCCATGATGAGGCGGTACTGTTGCAATGCAACATCATTAACAGCTGGAAGGTGAATATAACTGGTAATCACAAGCATTAATGGGACTTCATTACTCTGCAGAAGCTTTGCCTAGAACTCTCACTCAGATGGTTTAAGGACTATCAACTGAACCTCCACAGGAAAACTCATTGTATCCTAGAGAAGCTGATTGTCAGCTCGGTTTCTTTGTTTTTGCTGTTCACTTTCCTGTCCAGCCTGAGGTTGAAATTCATTTCTGACACCACTTGACACTTCTATGTACTTTGTCAAGTTTCGATGGCCAAACAGATGAAATCAAAAGTCTGCCCAAAAGTCAGAACTTCTTGTCCAAAAAAACACTGGCTTTTATCATTTCCGATTAAGAAGAATCCTCATGAGCTTCAGCAGCATTAGGCATTACATCTTCCATTAGCCAGTGAGAGGGTGTCATGATTGCACATATTTCAGTAGGTCTGACATTCCATCTGGTAGAGACCAGCGGTGTATACTCCTTATCAGTACATCAATTATACATTACACCCCTATAGCATTTTCCACCTGAGGATTTAAAAAAAACTTCACAAAAATTATTCAGTTAAATCTCACAACACCCACGTGAGGGTCAGAGTCCAAGACAGGCCAGAGGGCAAATCAAGAGACAGGCATCATTAGGCAGGCAGGGTCCCAGATAGGCCAGAGGGTAAACCAAGAGTCAGGCATCAAGAGACAAGCAAGGCCAAAAGCCGGAGTCTGAGATCTCTCACACACGGGGTCTGAAGCAAGACAGCCAGACAGTTTCTACTGTTGCTCCGACAATTCCCAGTCATGGCTGCCTGGCTTAAGTACCAATGCCAGCCAATCAGTGGACTGCAAGGAGTTGCCACTCAGGATCTGCTGGGCAGTACTTCCTGCTGGGCTCAGCCTTACGGGGCCTTCTGACAGGAGCCCAGCCTCCTGTGGAGGCATCAGGGGACCACAGTCCCAGGTTTTAGCCCTGCAAGTTCTTATAGCTAGCCCCTGGGCTTTCATGAAACGTTGCCAACTGTTCCCATTTGAAATAGCCTCTTCCCCACCCAAACTCATCCCAAGATTCATTCCTGCCTGAAACAGGGCAGTTCAGCCATTCTTCAGGACATCCTCTGTAGAGGCCAGGAAGGGCCCTGGTGCTGTGAAGCAACCCCTGACTTTGCTTTCATGAAGTTCCCATGAAGTCCTGGGGAGAAAGCACAGAACTTTGATCTTGAACTGAAATTCCTCCACATGGCAAGGGGCTGGGTAATTGTTAGACCATTTGTGTGGCAAATACAAGTTATTTCTAAAACCAGATCATGTTTCTGCACCCCAAAACTGAGCACGTTCTCTCTCTAAAGAAAAAAGACCTTTCAGGTGACGTCACCCCTGGGGTAGCTCTGCTGAAGTCAATGGAGTTACAGCAGGCAAGAATTTATGTCTCAGTTTCTATATAAATGCTCAGGTGCTTGTATCTGGAACCAGGTTCAGTAAAGAGAACAAAGAGACCATGGATCCTTATATGTACTTGCCCTTTGGAGCTGGACCCAGGAACTGCATTGGAATGAGATTTGCTCTCCTCTCCATGAAAGTTGCTATCACCAGTCTGCTGCAGAATTTCAGCTTCAGACCCTGCAAAGAAACTCCAGGTGAGAAATCCAGATTTATATGCAGTTATTTGCAAAAACAGTTAATATAAAACTGCCTCAATTTATTTGTCTAGAACAGTGGGATATAGTGCAAGAGAAATATGCAACACAAGATGCAAAGGGTACAGGTATAATACACTGCAGACTATAGACCATATTTAATGTGCATAATGTGAAGTAGTCTGAAATTTGCAATGGAATATTCTGAAAGGGGAAAGAGACTGTCTAGGAGAGAGAAATTAGAGGGCCAGAGGAGAGGGAGAAGGATTAATCAGCTTTAGTGGAAACCTTCAATCAAGTTCATTAGTTGATATCAGCATAGTGTTCCATACAGAAATGAAATGGCTTGACTCCTATCCATTTAAACATTATCAATGAGTCCTTGTTTTTGTTGTTCAAGTCCCTAGGCTGCTTAAGGTGAGTTTTCTGCAAATCATGGCTCATCCTTCATCTGTTTAGTAAAGTGGCTCCTTAGAAGTCCAAACCCCCCTTTTGCTTAGTTGCCTACGTAACATTTTCCGAAGAAAACAATGGCTTGAGTCAAAATATTGCCAGACTTCCAATGCAAAGTCATAACCCGCCTTGACAAATATGAAGGTCACAGGCTGTAAACATTTTTAGCAGGAAACAAGCTCTTGTTGAGATGAACACTACATATATGAAAGCCAAAGGCCTTAGAATCATAGAATATCAGGGTTGGAAGGGACCTCAGGAGGTCATCTAGTCCAACCCCCTGCTCAAAAGCAGGACCAATCCCCAATTAAATCATCCCAGCCAGGGCTTTGTCAAGCCTGACCTTAAAAACTTCTAAGGAAGGAGATTCTACCACCTCCCTTGGCAACGCATTCCAGTGTTTCACCACCCTCCTAGTGAAAAAGTTTTTCCTAATATCCAACCTAAACCTCCCCACTGCAACTTGAGACCATTACTCCTTGTCCTGTTCTCTTCTACCACTGAGAATAGTCTAGAACCATCCTCTCTGGAACCACCTCTCAGGTAGTTGAAAGCAGCTATCAAATCCCCCCTCATTCTTCTCTTCTGCAGACTAAACAATCCCAGTTCCCTCAGCCTCTCCTCATAACTCATGTGTTCCAGACCCCTAATCATTTTTGTTGCCCTTCGCTGGACTCTTTCCAATTTATCCACATCCTTCTTGTAGTGTGGGGCCCAAAACTGGACACAGTACTCCAGATGAGGCCTCACCAATGTTGAATAGAGGGGGACGATCACGTCCCTCTATCTGCTCTCTATGCCCCTACTTATACATCCCAAAATGCCATTGGCCTTCTTGGCAACAAGGGCACACTGCTAACTCATATCCAGCTTCTCGTCCACTGTCACCCCTAGGTCCTTTTCCGCAGAATTGCTGCCTAGCCATTCGGACCCTAGTCTGTAGCTGTGCATTGGGTTCTTCCGTCCTAAGTGCAGGACCCTGCACTTATCCTTATTGAACCTCATCAGATTTCTTTTGGCCCAATCCTCCAATTTGTCTAGGTCCCTCTGTATCCTATCCCTGCCCTCCAGCGTATCTACCACTCCTCCCAGTTTAGTATCATCCGCAAATTTGCTGAGAGTGCAATCCACACCATCCTCCAGATCATTTATGAAGATATTGAACAAAACCGGCCCCAGGACCGACCCTTGGGGCACTCCACTTGACACCGGCTGCCAACAAGACATGGAGCCATTGATCACTACCCGTTGAGCCCGACAATCTAGCCAACTTTCTACCCACCTTATCGTGCATTCATCCAGCCAATACTTCTTTAACTTGCTGACAAGAATACTGTGGGAGACAGTGTCAAAAGCCTTCACAAACTATAACTAGGAGTACTGTAACACAGACATACTGTGACACAGACATATTAGAGAGAGGATTTTGTCGAGAATCTGTCATTTCCTGGAACTAGGATCCTTGCTATTCAGAAATGCACATTTATCTCCTTCCCTGAACATCATGGAGAAATATTTAGCTGTGAATCATGGAGACAAAGGGAGCAGGGACTGTAAGAATGATCATAAATAACCAATCTCCACAAATAACATTTCAGCAGGTGCCCATATGATCATCCAAAAGAATTCTCTCTTGGACAACTTGTTGTAGGAAGGCAAGTGAATGTTGTTGGTTCATTTAGTTTCATCAGGACTCAGCTCACTTCTTTTCACTAGGACTACACAGAAAGACACCATTCTACCTAAAGGCAGTGATATATATGCTGATAGTTCTAATTTTACCTTCACCAAATCCTAGCCAAAATGTTAATGGAATGCTCTGACTTGCAAAATAAGCCATTTGGATATGTGGTTTGGTCCAGGCCCGCCTCTACCCCAAAATCAGACAAACCTTTTCAATATGAGTTTCATTTAGAGATTTTGGCTTAGTTTAAACCTACATGTCAACTAAACCAGTGGTAGAGGGAGGGCTGTGAACCCCAGGAAGTTTGCATGAAGTCACTGTAAAGTGAAATATCCATGTTTAGCACAAATCTTGCTGTGCTAGATTGCTGTGCTAAATCAAACAGGGAAAACCAAAGACCTGAGACACAGACATACAAGGGTTTGTGTTCCTGAGAAGGCCAGAAACAGTCCTATTCCCAAGGACAAAATGCCTCTGTCCTATGTCCCCTTTTTATCTGTCTTTTATTCAGTGGGATCTAAATGATCTTCTCTAATTGCTGCAGATACCTCTCAAACTGTTTTCAAAAGGATTCATAACTCCAGTGGAACCTATCATTCTGAAGTTAGTCTCCAGAACCACAGAATTGAAGGAGTAAAATCCAGTGGCGTTTTATAGCAGCTCTTCAGAGGTCAATAGCTGCTGTACCAACAGATGCTGTACACATTGTTCTGGGAAGCTGATTTAGACGCACAAGAGCTTAATTCAGAAGACAGTTGCTAAATATTTGCAGAAAAGCATGACTAGAGAGACAGAGAAAGTGGATGAGGTAAGGAACCATTAGAAACTGTGCTAACTACTTATGCTAAACTATCTGTTCAATCTTGTATTTAGCTGTGACACTCCTGAGCACCTTTCCCAGGCCTGGAGAGGAGCTCTGTGTAGCTGGAAAGCTTGTGTCTCTCTCACCAACAAAAGTTGGTCCAATAAAAGATATTACCTCACCCAGTTTGTCTCTCTACTATCCTGGGATCAATGTGGCTACAACAACACTGCATATAAAAAGCATGGGCAAACCATGTTCAGTATTGTTAGCTAATGAAACTCAACCACACCTAACCCTTGTTGACAGACATGACTGCTGGCAACTGTGCTGAGTCAGGCGCTGTTAAATTTCAGTGCAGGCCAGGTCTGGCTCTCTTTTAGCGGTATTCCTTCCCAAAAGGGAGAAAAGTACAGTCTCTTTCAAGATGCAGAAGAGACTTGTTTGATACCAACAGGAATCAGTTATTATTAATAATGATTATTGAATGGGAATATTGGTGATGAAAAATGGGTGCATGACAAGATTCTTTTTGAATAGTGCAAATAGTTCTTGTCTGGATACAGTTCAGCAAACAAACTGTTTGGCTGCAGTAAGGCTATATTCTGCTAACTAATCGCTTGTGTAATGCATCTATTGTATAAAGTGGTAATTTACAGAGATGACAGAAATCAATAAAAATATGTTGAGCAGAGCTCATTTGTCTGTTTTATATTATGGATGAGTTCATCACTTGTCATTTGAAAGAAATATGTAGTCTTGACCGCTGAAATTATGAATATATAGCATCTTCTACTCAATTCAATCTCTGATAATCTTGATCATTTATCCTGCTCAAAATCTCCAGAACAAAAGCATTTGCTTTACACATAATACAGCTTCCACATATCTTGATAAATGGGCTTGCTTTTGGGCAAATATTTGATAATTTGAGCACTGGCTATAGGAAGTTCCCGTTTAATCAACAGAGAAGACCAATTGTCTTATGGGTCTTCATTCAAACTATACATAAGAAACTATATTGAAAATTTGTGTTTAAGACATTCTGAGCATTGGCATGTGTGTGCTAAACAATCGGTGATGAGAGTACTCATTGTCTGGATGAGGAGATGAATTGCTTAGTTCAGTCAAAGCGATAGGAATGGACTCAATCTAAAACTACTTCCACACTGTACTACTAATTTCATTTCCATCTTGTCATCCACTTGGTCAAATGAATGAAGTAAATATGATAAAAAGCCTTTTAGATAGATTTGATATGCAGTTTCCCACATGACCACCTCTTGTTTTGCTTGTTTGCCTCTTGTTTGCTAAAAGTGAGGGGTAGGGACTCTACCTCTTAGATGGGTAGGGGACCGCTCTTCTAGCATTTCACAAACCAACCACATTGGTGCAAGGCACAAGTAGCGGCCAGTAAACAGGCAGAAGTGACCCATAAAACAGCAGCAGAGGAAGAATGTTTTCCCCCCCACTCAGAAGAGTGCCGTACTTTACCAGAACAGCCACTCCAGACACAATGAAGGAGAAAGAAAGATCAGGAATAGCAAAACATATCCAGCAAAAATCACATGTGGGCTAGTTAGAGGCTTCAGAAGAGGATTCACATGGCGTCTAGTGATGGAAACATACGCTCCTAAAGATGATAATTAGAATGAGAAACTGTTAATCTAGCCACAATACAGTAAGAACAGCACATGCATGGAGTCCATAAAAATGAAGTAATGTAACTGTATATGCTGTTCATGCTTTCAAGAATGAAAAATATGAATAATTCGCTGGTAAGGGTCAATTATAACCTGCCACCACAGGCACATGGGACTATATGTATTATGGGATAGCAAGATAACATTAATAAGATTCCAAGAAAGGAAATTAGAGCCACTGTGATTTAACTGCATCACACTAATCTGACTATTCAGGCTGGTTCCCGCGTATCCCAACACTTTGCAGACTTCTGTCACCTTCAGTCATGAACGTGATGTCCAAGAGTCATCATACCTAAGCCTGGCTAGGCACATCATCTGAGAGCTCTATTGGCTTTCAAGGAAGAGGGCCTGAATAGAGGAGTGGAGAGGGACTTGTGGTGTTGCAGAAATGCTAGTAATGACTGGGTACCTGTCATCTTCTAGCCTCTCGACATTTGCAGAGGGATGGAAACGATTAAATGTCAATAACAGAAGTTTATGTTTACTGTAGTTCTTGCATTATCTTGGAGAATAGTTATTACTAGTGAAATATTAACTTAAACGTAGATATAGTATTCCTCTACACTTACAGTACAGATAGTTGTAGATGGAGCCTTTAACCTCAAGTTCACTGATACAGTTCTGACTCGTGTCAGTGATGTCCTCAAACTACCACCAATTTTATGCCTAGTCACAATTAGCTGATGGTCTTTGTCCTCTTCCTAGAGTAAAGATGTCCAAATCACAAAAACCAGCCACATGTTCTAATCTCAGTAGAGGAGAGGACTGAATGGAATGGAGAATAAACTCTGTTCTCAAATTCAGAGGTGGTCTTTATGGGACCGGCTTGTCAGGGCAGTGCAAGGTAGCTTGTACTAATTCTGGTCATGATCTACTTGATTTGAGGACACACAGAAGACTGACTGAAGTCCTAATAATCTGATCCATTTCATTATTCCAAATATATTTCTTACTTTTCAAGTTCTCTAGATTGTATATAGACAGTTGTAATCATTCTAATTCCTGTTATGAGAAGGAGCTTGCTGGGGCAGTACAGGATCTTTCTCATACCAGCATGACAGAAAGAAAGTAACATGAGTAGGGGGATTTACTGAGAAAAAGCAACTTGTGCACTCTGGAAAAAAGTTCTGAAATTGATTATTAAGCATTCCCAAACGGTGGTAGCAAAATCCTATTGGACTCTGCTTTATCCCCAAAATGTACATTCTCAAGTCCTTTCACATGTCAGCAAAGTGTTGACAGAGTGACAGTGAGGCATATTGGAGTGGAAGCAAAAAGAAGCGCCGTGCCTTTCATTTTAACCACAGACCCACGTGAATTCAGGGAAAAGCAAAGAAGAGAGAGACTGAGAGGACAACAGAGAGAATGAAAATGAGCTTCCTTCTATAGAAATCTGGATTCTTCTTATATTGCTATCTCTGCTGGCACTTCAAGTATAATTTTCCTTATTGCTTCTGAAAATGTGCTTTGCTGATGTTTCACTTTTGTTCTTGATGCAAAAATTCCTGACAGACTTGTCCAGGGGGTGGGGGTGGGAAGGAGATGCTGGACACTGCGCTTAGAGGGGTATAGACTTGATGATTTTTTCCATTGACATTTTCTGCAGTCCCATCTACACCCACAGATTAATACATCTTCTTGTTTCTCCCCTGTGCTTCCTCTTTTGCTCTTCCCATTTTCTCTCCCACCACTTCCTCCCCTCCCCCCTCCCCGCCGCAACCTCTCTCTCCTGCCTGATCTGGGTTTCCCCTTCTTTTTCCTTCCCAAACTCCAACATTGCTAGCAGTCCATTCCCCCTCCCCCACCCCCGGCCAATCGCTCCTGTGTTGCCAGTTGCAGAGCACTGAACCAACTGCCAGTCAAATGAACACTCCTTTCACACAGCCTGAAACACATGAGCGGACCAGAGAGATGAGCGTGGATCAACTGGGCAGCGTTTTTTTAGCTCTTTATGTAACGATTAATGACTGATTACATGGTGTGCACATTCTCCTGCACTATAAAATACCATTTACATTACCGACGTCCTAAAAGTAATAAAACCAGATTTAAAACACACCCACACCCACCCCGTAGGTCTGAGGGACTGGCACCGACTGAGAGGAAACCCTCCTCGGGAATGCAGCCTGGGTTTCCAGCTTCCCAAGTTTATATGGCAATCCAATGGTTCCACACAACATTTTACTCCCTATAACACTGTCGCTCACTTTTCACACACACTTTTCTTCATTTCTCTGCAGGTATGGAATCTGGGCATTCATTTTCTTCAAGAAATGGGGTCTTCCTTTGAAATGTGCCCGGAGTACTGTAAAGTGACTTACATGAGGCTTCCAGTGTTAAAGCGGCACAACCCCTGGGCTGACTGAATAATTACACTCCCTTGTTGGCACAGGTCTGTGAGCTAACCCTGCTCATAACCCCAGTTCCCCTCCCCCACTTTCTTGCAGGGGTTTGTGAACTTCAGTGAGGCGTGTTTTCAGATATATGGGAAAATCTTGGGGGGAACAGTCTTCTATCACAGTAACACTGACTTGACTCTTCCGGTGCTGTACACGGCGTTACATGCACTGCCCCCAGCTCATGGTGTTCAGTGTACATCCGCTCTGCTCCCAGCTCAAATCCTGGTGTCCAAGTGGAAAAAGATAGCTGGAGGGGTCTCAAGGTCATGCCACAAGACCCTGCTTCCCCTCAGGTTTCTGTCCCTCTCAGTCTCTTCCTCCTCATGCCCCCTTGTGCCCCGTCTCCCCGCACACCGTGTTCCCCAGGAGCTCCCCTTGACCTCCCAGCGCCCCCTGGCGTATTCCCCCTCAGGACTCCATCCCCATACAGCCCACTCCTCCTCGAGTCCCCACAATACCCCTCTGCCCATCCTCCATAAGTCTCTAGTCCTCCCTCAGCTCCTTCCCCTCGAGTCTCCGCCCCCCCTCGCTTTCTTCCAAGGCCCCTGCATGCAGGGCTTCTTTCTGCCTACCCCCTACAGCACCTCACAGGCAAGATAGCCCTTTGGGCAGCTCTGAGGGGAGACAGTCTCCCTGCTCTCCTTGGCTGCAGTCAGTGACTGAGGAACTGCAAGGAAACCTGCAGACTTGGTGGGAGCACGCAATTCCAGCAACGTTGTGTAAAGGAAGGCGCAATGCATGAGTGTCCTGACACATAGATATTGTCTATTTGATAAAACCACAGGATTTACTTCACTCTCTGCAAGCGTACATGGCACGGTGTGCCCAGCATGGAAAAATCCTAACCTTAGACTCACCTAGTCAACACATTTACTCCTGGTTACTGTGCTGTCCTGGGTGGAGAGAGCTCATTGGCTCATACAGAGTCACACATATCCAATGCATTCAGAATACCCCCCAGCCTAAAAACAAAACATATCATAGCCCCCTATAAGGCACTGTCATTAAACGCCTCTCATTCTACTCACAGTACTGGTGGAGTAGTTTAACATATTATACAGATTAATGGTTTTCCATGGCAGGCAGCCCATGCTGGCCACCCTGGACCCTGCTCTCTTTGTGGGTCCCATCTATTCCCTCTTCCCTTTCCAAAACACCAGCCCCAGGATACGCTCAGGACACATAGACTGTTGCAGAGGTGCATGGGGCTCATCTCTCCAGCCACAACCCAGCCCAAACTACTGGGCCATCCCTTACAGGAGAGTCCCATCCCCTTTGCAGTGTTTCTCTAACTCAGCTCCCTCAGGCTTCATATAAGGTCCAGGTGAATAACGGCTCATCACCTCACTCTGCCCCCTCTGGCTGGGAGGCAATCAATCAATCAACCCCCAGGTGTGGAGAATGGCTCTAATTGTTGTTGGGCTTTTTGCCCTTCTGGAGCCAGTGCTGGGGAAACCCCATCACATGCCACTTTTAACTAGAAAACTGGATCCCAGGTATCCAAAAGGAGTCAATCTTGAGAATTAACCGAGCCAGTCACCACATCACCTTAT